GACACGACGCGCGATGCACAGGACACAAGAGCACCCTTGATTTCGCAGGGCCGACCTACTAATGGAACCCGACTGTAGAGGGTACAGTCAAAAACCCTCATAAGGACGCGCGGTAAGGACGCAGGACCCTTGGAAGCCGAAGTTGGGATTTCTTGGGGCGGTGGACGGCGAAAACCCCCAGGACGCAAGAGCAAGGAAGAGCAAGGACGCCAGGGTACCCTGAGCAAAGTCGCGCGTCCTTATTAGGGTTTTTGACTGTAGGGGATGAGGATGAGATCAGGCGATGGGCAATTGAGAATTGCGGATACCGTCGGCCTAGATTGGGCAGGAGACGCGAGAGGACACAAGACCCTTCCGAGGGCCACATCGCCGCAGGAGTGCAAGGAGGCACGGGTCGCGAGACACAGGACACAAGGGTACCCTTGATTTGGCAGGGTCAGCCTACTAATCCGGGCCGACTGCAGGGGATGAGGATGAGATCAGGCGATGGGCACTACCGTCGGGGCGTTGACCTAAGGAACCCCAAATAAGGAACGAGGCCCCATTTTTCCCATAAGTGAAACTTCGATTTCCCATCGAAACGTAAGGAAACCCTGAGGCAAGCTGTGAAACAATTAAGGAGCACGGAGCCCCTTCCACAACGAAAAGCGGTCCTTCTTCAAGGCCCCGACTGTAGAGGACTGCGGATACGGCACGGCGAGTGAAGTTCGGAGAACGAGCAGAAGGCAGCACGAGGAGCAGAAGGCAGGGGCGCACAGCGCGCCGCAAAGCATGACTTCACTGCGGCGTGGCGCTCGCTGTTGCGTGTCTCGTGCCCTGGCAGCTCAAGCCTGGGCGATTGAGCATGTCGCCTCAAGACGGGAGCTGGGGTGCATCCTACCTGGCGGAGCTAGAGCTTCGTGCCCACCTTGGTGGACGCAGACCGGACCCTGAGCAGCCAGAGAAAGCCACTCTGGACGGCAAGTGGTAGAGCAATGGGAACAAGCTGCTCAACCCTGCCCCAGACTTACTGCTTTCTGATTGTCTTGCGAGCTTGCGCGACTCAAGCGCTCAAGAACGCTCTGACAGACTGTGAAACTGATTGCTTGTATCCTGAGGCTGCCTGAGAAGGACTTCCTTCTGCAGGCCTGAAACCCAGACATCGGATCTCAATGCGCGGTCAACGTAAGTCCCGACCCCCCACTCTGGGATCAGCATTAGAAGAAGAAAAAACCACATAAACATAAACGTTTGTCGCTCCGCGCGGATTTCTTGGATTCGCGCTGGACCCCCCAGGGCCGCCCCTGGCGCGCTCCGCGCGACAGGGAGTGGGGTCCAGCGCGAATCCAAAAAATCCGCGCGGAGCGCCAATTTATATGGTTTTTTCTTCTTCAACGCATTTCATCGCAGGTCGCTTTGATGAAGGCCCCGGGGCCCGGCCAGGGCCCCTGGAGGCCGAACACGGCCAAAAGCCTTCCGGCGCGATCTCTCTCGACGCGAGCCTGTCTGGGCTGCTTCGGGCCACAGCGCGACTCTCCAGCGGCCGCTCGGGGCGACGACCCGGGCACCCCCCGGGGCACGCCCTTGGCGAGGCGCAGCTGTTGGAGAGCATCCCGAGGCTGGAGGACCGCCGAGAAACGGCGAGAGCGCCCGAGAGCCTCCAAACCTCGAGCCTCGACTCGTGTGGGCTCCTGGGCTGCTCGCCCCACTCCTAGGAAGAAGGGAAAACGCCATAAGCATAAACTTTTGGCGCTCCGCGCGGACTTCTTGGATCCGCGCTGGGCACCCCTCCCTGGAGCGCCAGGGGCGGCGCCAGGGGCGGCGCCGGAGGCGCTGCCGGGGGGCCCAGCGCGGATCCAAGAAATCCGCGCGGAGCGCCAAAAGTTTATGCTTATGGCTTTTTGTTCTTCTTCGAACTCCGCCGCCGAGCCCCCGCCAACCCGCCTGCGCAGCGGCGACTGCTTGCCGACCTCCTCACGCGAGGCGGCCATGCCCTGTGCGGCCGCACGTATAAGAGTGACCCTGGGACAAGAGCGACCTCTGGTGCGCGGCTTTGGGGGAGGGACGCGAGAGAGGGCCAAATCCTGGCGCGCTGGCCGCTGCTGTCGCAGCGCAGTCGGCGATCGGTGGGGCCATCCTTCTCCTCCTCCTCCTCCTCCTCCTCCTCCTCCTCCTCCTCCTCCTCCTCCTGCTCCCCAACGGGCCCGCACCAAGAGGTCACTCCAGCGAATGGTCACTGTCACGTGCAGTCGACCTGTGCAGACGTCGCTTCGGCAACGGCCTGCGCAGCAGAAGCTGCGGCAGTCTGCACGGCGGCCTCCGCGGTGACCTCCGCGGTGGCGGCCTGCACGGCAGCCTCCGCACGGCGACCAGCGGCGGCCTGCGCGGCCTGCGAACTGGCAGCCTGCGGGGAACAAAAATCCAGACGTGCTCGCCTCGTAACAAAATCGAGGAGCCCAGGGATCGAGGTTCGAGGGGAGAGGTTTTCGGACGTTCTCGTCGGTTCTCGGTGGCTTTCCAGCCTCGGGATGCTCTCTGACAGCTGCGCCTCGCCGAGGGCACTCCTGGGGGGCCCGGATTGTGCCGAACGGCCGCCGGGGAGCCGAGCAACGGCCCGAAGACCCTGACAACCCAGACATGCTCGCGTCGTGGCAAAAATCACGACGGAAAGGTTTGGGGCCGTGTTGTGGGACGCACAGGGACATACTAATACTACATGTACTCCTTGGAGGCGCGCGTCCGACCCAAACATATAGTATACCCATCTTGTAGTATATCGTTTCCCGAGCGGCGTGGCCAGAAAGCGCCCGCCACGACGCATATACTATAAGATTTCTCGGTACGCGCATCGCCCCCCGGGGGGCGACGCACATATAGTATAAGTATGTTGGGGTGACGCCGATGTTGGCCCTCCAGCGGCCCTCACTGGACCCTGGGACTGTCATAAGCAACTGGAGATGAAAAACGACTGGTCGGGGCTTCCGGGGACCGCACGTTGAAAAGCTCAAGACATCAAATGCCTGGAAGGTGCCGATACCGCTGCTCCTCAGATCTCTCCTGAAGTGCGTTCTGACCCGGATTTCGAGGCGAATCCAGCCGTGGTGGCGAGAGAGGGGTACCATAGGGTATAGACGGAGAAAGAACTCACGAACCTAAACTGTCGGAGGCCCACACGGACTTCTTGGTTCGGCGCTGGACCGCCCTTTCCTTGGCGCGCAGAGCGAGCCAAGGACGGCGGCGGAGGCGCCGCCAGGTGGGCCCAGCGCCGATCCGGGAAATCCGCGCGGACATCCGAAAATTATGCTTGTGCCGTTGTTTGTTCGAAGATTGAAAGAGCACCCCTTGGCAAAACGCCCTCTGGTGAAAGCTGCCAGGGACACACCACGTGCGCACCACATTCCGCGTGGACCCCAGCAGGGTAGCTCATCATCGTCCTAAAACAGACCGGATGTATCTGGCGAAACACACGTCGATTCGCGAAACCAACTAAGAGGTGCACCGGCACACCTCAATGCCAGTGTCGGTTGAACTGGCGCCGAGTTCCTCAGTCGACTTGTCTGGGCGTGCGTTCTCTCAATTGAAGGGGCCCACTAACAAGAGGATTCCCCATATTTTCCCATAGTTTTTTGGTTTACGTCTTCCCCCCCCCGCCGCTGCCCATAGTTTCTCACATTTTCCAGGGCATCGACGATTCGTTTTGTCTGTGCGTTTTACTCCTCCCGATCAGTGCCCGATCCCCTCTCCTGCTGCCTTCTGCTGCCTGATCCCCTCCTCCTCCTGCTCCTGCTCCTGCTCCTGCTCCTGCTCCTCCTCTTCCTCCTCCTCCTCCTCTTCCTCCTCCTCCTCCTCCTCCTCCTCCTCCTCCTCCTCCTCCTCCTGCTCCTCCTCCTCCTCCTCCTCCTCGTCCTCCTCCTCCTCCTCCTCCTCCTCCTCCTCCTCCTCCTGCTGGAGGTCTCAGGGGCCATGTTGGGGCGGAGGGCGCGACAGTTCAGCTCGAGCGCCCCCTCCTGGGGCCATCTTGGGACACGCTTTGAAGGAACCAACAGGTACCGATACCGCTACTCTCAGACCTCCCCCGGCAGATTTCGAGGCGAATCCAGCCGTGGCGACGATGGCCTCCCAGGACGTCCCGACAGGCAAAACAAGGGAAGGGTATCAGTATGGGTGCCTTCTCCTCCTCTGGCTCTTGGGCCCCTACCCCCACCAACCATCGAACCCTACCCCCATCCACCATCAATTCTCCTAAATCGACGGGAGGCGGGGGAAAGTTTCGGACTTCGCCACGTGCTCGACGAACTCCGAGCCCGATCTCCGCCGCGAATCGAATTGCCTGAATCATTGATCGGCGAAGATCGGCTACAGGTAAGAGTGGCCCAGGTAAGAGTGACTTTTGGTGCGCGACTTCGGGGGCCGCGGGGAGGCCGAATCGGAGCGCGCAAGCCGCTGCTGACTATCGCATCGTATTCAACCACCTGGGGATCCCAGTGCGCCCGCACAAAAGGCCACTCCGGCGAATTGTCACTGCTACGTCTAGAACTCGAGGAGGGGATCGACTACAACATTGATTTACCCCAATATTGGCTTTCTTGCCGAATCCATGAAATTATCCCAGTGCGACCCTACCTAGGAGTTGAAACCCCTAGGAAAGCAGCATTAGTAGTAACAGTAACGCTAAGCTACAGCTAAGCTAAAGCTAAGCTAAAGCTAAGCTAAAGCTAAGCTAAAGCTAAGCTAAAGCTAAGCTAAAGCTAAGCCACAGCTGAGCTAAAGCTAAGCTTAAGCTAAGTTAAAGCTAAGCTAACGCTAAGCTAAAGCTAAGCTCAAGCTGAGCAACAGCTAAGCTAAAGCTAAACTACAGCTAAGCTAAAGATAAGCTGAATCTAAATTAAAGCTAAGCTAAAGCTAAGTTAAATAAAGCTAAGCTAAAGCTAAGCTACACCTAAGCTCAAGCTAAGCTACAGCTAAGCTCAAGCTAAGCTAAAGCTAAGCTAAAGCTAAGCTGAACGCAAAGCGAAAAGCTAAGCTGAACGCAAAGCGAAAAGCTAAGCTACAGCTAAGCTAAAGCTAAGCTAAAGCTAAAGCTAAAGCTAAAGCTAAAGCTAAAGCTCCCAAGGGACTGGGGGGAACCGCGGGGCGGGGACTGGGGGAACCGCCTGGGGCGCTTTACACTGCCCGGCCCCTTTAAGCTAAGAGAGTAAGAACCCTTCTAGGCAGAGCCTAGGCGGGGAAAAAAGCATTGCCTGTTCGCATAACTAAAAACCTTCGGCGCATTGTCCATGGACCCGGCGAGAAAACCAAGCGCGGGGCAAACCCAGACCCCCGACGTCGTGACTTTTTCACAGCGTCGACCCCAAGAGGTCTGGACCCCTCCCCTGGAACCAGCTTTTCATGCTGAACCGTTTTGTTGACGGCCCCGAGGCCTGGCAGAGGGGCCCCTGGAGGCCGAACATAGCGAAAGACCATCCGCCGTGATTCCCCACGCCCCTGAGATCCGACGTCTCGAGAACATCGGCCCTGGAGCCCTGGGCCCGATCTCTCCCCGCGCCATTTTTCCCGAACTGCATCGATATCCGCGAGGGCCCAGTGGGGCCCGAAAGTCATTACGCGCAGACGCCCGGCTCGAAGCAATCGAGAATCGCCAGGACCTCCAGGATCCGCGCGAGCGGGCCCCGACCGCCTGCACGGAAGCCCGCGCGGCGCCCCGCGCGGCCGTCTGCACGGCGGCGTCGGCCGTGGCGGCCTGCCCGGCGGCGGGCGCGGCCGGCCGCGCGCCGCGGGCCTCCGCGGCGGCGGCCCGCGCGGGGGCCGGCGCGGCCGCCCCGGAGCCGGGCTCCTCCGCGGGCCGCCCGCAGCTCCTGCGGAGGCGGGGGGCGCTGCGCGGCCGCCAGCGGAGAGGCCCTGGCGGCCCCGCCCTATGGCGCCCCCTCCCCTCCCAGAGCGCCCTCGGGCAAGGACAGGAGCGCGGCGGGCCGTTTTCTGCAACGTTCGGCCTCTGGGGGCCCTTACCAGCCTTGGGCCCCGTCGAGAAACGGCTCAAGATGGAAAACCGGCCCAGGGGAACGGGTCGAGACTTCTGGGGGCCCCGCATTGGAAAAATCACGACATCGGGCCTCAGGGCCCCGCCTCCTCACCTCGGAGCCCGTTTGGTTTCAGAGTCGGACGAATCCACTCGCACGGAGCTCGCCCCGGGTAAGCTTTTACTTGCGCGGGCGGGGAAAAAAACTGCACCTGAAGCAAGGCGCCGGCGACTTCTCGAGCACGCGCGGGAACCACGCAGGTCGAGAGGCACTTGCACGCCAGCGTTCGTTTGAAGAGGGGCGAGGGGGGTGGGGCGGTGGAAAGTTTTTTTCTGGGGGGCGAACGCCATGCGAGTAAACTTGCCCGAATCACTATATATATAGCACTATCTATGAATCACTATATATAGTGATATATATATATATATATATATATATATACATGCTCCCCCCCCCCCCCCACATGATCATACATATTATCCCCTCCCTCATCTGCTCCCTGCTCTCCGTCGCATTTCCTCATCCTCTTATCCTCCTTCAGCGGGGTGCGTTGGGGCCTGCCCCGTTAGCTGCTCCTCTCCTTGGGCGGCAAGGACAAAACGATCGAGCGATCGACGTAATATTTTCTCTCGCTTGCAAACTTGCTTTCAGTCGCTGCCTTGATGAGCGTGCCATCGATCCATCCATCAGCGGGGCAGCGCAACCTCGGGCTGAGGGCGGCGGCGGGGCACTGCAACCTCGGGCTGAGGGCGGCACGCTTTCTAGTATTCTCTCGCGCTGGATCCCCGTCCCTCTGCACCCTCAGGAGGGGAATGATGACGAGGAGGAGAGGGATCAGGAGAGTGAAGAACTCGAAATTATGAGCGAGGAGGAAAAGGAGCTAGATAAGAGGAATGCGATCCCGACGATGATGACGAGGATGATGATGACGACGATGATGATGACGATGATGATGATGCTGATGATGACGATGACGATGATGATGATGATGATGATGATGATGAGCAGGACTGCAGAGGATGAGGAACTGAACACGCTGAGAAAGGGATCCTTTTGCACAGGCTCCCAATAGGAAGCCATTGCGCACAGGCTCTCAACAGGAATCCTTTTGCACTGGCTCTCAATAGGAAGCCATTTGTATTGCGTTTCGGTAATATTCTTTTTGTATTAGCTTTCAATAGGAATCCTTTTTGCAGAGGCTCTCACTAGGAATCCTTGTGTAGAGGCTTTCAATAGGAATCGTTGCGAAGAGGCTCTCAATAGGAATCCTTTTGTAGAGGCTCTCAATGAGAATCCTCCTGTGGAGGCTCTGAACAGGAATCATGTTGCACCGGCTCTCAATAGTAATGCAGTAGTCTTGTGTTTCAATCGGGATCATTTTTGTATTGGCTCTCACTAGGAATTCTTTCTTGTAGAGGCTCTCAATAGGAATCCTTTTGTAGAGGCTCTCATTAGGAATCGTTGTGTAGAGGCTCCCACTAGGAATCATGTTGTAGAGGCTCTC